ACATGGCTTCAGGTGAATTCATGATGATGAAATCAGCTAGGTACACTTAACCTCACAGGCTAGAAATGTTTAGTGATTCATCTTTCACCTAGCACCCAATGTGGATACCCTCAGTAAGACTTGGGGAGCCTTATAACTCCTCTTAACATATGCTTACCCATACTTAAATTCTAAGGAAGCTGCATCCACAGCCCTATTCTGTAATAGCATTGCAACCATGAGAGCACTCACACTTTTAGCCTTTCCATAACCTAACTTGGTCATTTGGGCCTCTCAAAAGGAAGTATTTTTGTTTAAATAGGTCAGTCGGTTATTGGGAGAGAAATACAGAGCCAGTAGGTTTTCAGGGGTTTGTTTGCCTTTGCTAATTTTTTGAAAATAGAGTTCTTCAGTTATCAAGATTTTTAAAAAATCAGTTTTAATAATATAAAGCTTTTTTAAAAAAAACTAGGCTGGCCCAAGTGCAGTGGTTGTTTCTCCACTCCCACTGTTTGACTTGACTTGCCTTGAAAAAATAATAGTAAAATAAAATATTAAAAAATGATTAGAAGATGCTATATTCAAAGGGGATGACCTCATTTCATTGAGTAAGATAGTCAAAAATGGTAGTAACTATAGTGGAATAGTTAACTCAGTTATTTGTAAGTTTTTTTAATGTTAATCGTAGAGATTATAAATTGGCTCTTTAAGTTTCTAAATGGTGACACAATTAATAATGATTAAAAGCAAAGTCAGTCTTTGTTAACTAATATAGTATGCAAATTAAAATATTTTAATGATCAGTAATTTTCCCCCAGAAATTATCTTGCTGTTTTTAAGCAATTTCCCTAATTTTAGCATAGTTTATGAAATATCTTATCTGAATAAAAATGTATTTTTGCTAATAATTTTCTTCTAAAATGATATTAAGACTGGATGCAAATCTCATGAATACATTTTAAAAGAAAATTAATGAAATTTCTTATAAAGGAAATTTCCAGGTAGTATGTAGTGGAAGGAAAACTGAATTTAGCAGTAAAACAGTTCTGGTCATTCTAACTACCTGTGTGATCTTGAACAAAGTCACTTAGCTTCCCTGGGCCTTGGTGTCTTTCATATATAAAATATTTACCAGATTTTCTCTGAAATAACTTCTAGTTTTAATATATGTGATTATCAGTATTTTATTAAAATTCAAGCAATATTCATTTTAGAAATTATTATAGATAAGCAGCTAGCATTCTATAATAGTAAAGGTTGAATTTACAATATAACAGCTAAACATGTTCAACTTCTTCAAGCTGATAATTGATATTTGATTCAAATTCTTACCACCTAATGCATGTCATTTTCACCAGATGCAGAGAGAATTTATATTTAGGTTTGCATCTGTAACTATATTATCTGGCACTGTAAGGCCATTAGTTTTGGGCTGATGGACCTACTCCCCACACAATTTCCCCATTTTTTTTTTGCATATCATATCTTGTCTGATATTTCTCAGAGGTATCCCTATTTCTTCATATGTAATATATATCCATTTACATCTTTGGTTTTCTGAGGTCAAACAATAGTAAATGAGAAGTAAAACAACTATATGTGTTTGTATTTACAACTCTATCTAAAATTATATAACCCTTGGTTACCTTCAGAGTAAACTAGGCTGAAGAGTTGTTAATAATGTTGATAAAAATGCCATTGAGTTCTTTCTTCAACAAATACTGAGTACCTAACATGGCAAATGCTATACTAAGTACTGGGGATACAGAGATAAGTAAAACACATTTGCCTCCCTGAAGGAGTTCACACTTTAGTTGGTAGGAGAAACACCAGAGCATAGCCATTTTATAATTAGTGCAGCAATTGACATGAACATGGGTTTATGGAAACTCAGAGGGATATCTAACCTACTCTGAAGAAATTAGTAGAGGCTACCTAGAGAAAGTAATTCAGGTACTTTGCATTTGATTAAGGATTTGATTAAGGATAAGAGTGAGTTATGGCAGTTCCTGACAGATTGGGTACTGTGAACAAACACCAGAGGTAGAACAAGCTGTGTTAGGTGTGTGTCAAGAATTATAAGCAATCTGGTGTTGCTGGTGTGTCATAGACGAGGCGGGAAGTGGTAGGAATTGAGACTACCATTTTAAGTTCTTAGGAACAAGAGGAAGGAGTTGTGTGTTCCATGTTTGGGAGTTTGAACTGTAATTTATAAGCAATGAGATACCATAAAAGAGTTTTAAGGAGGGCTGGGTGCAGTGGTTCATGCTTGTAATCCCAGCACTTTGGGAGGCTGAGGTGGGTAGATCACGTGAGGTCAGGAGTTCAACACTAGCCTGGCCAACTTGGCAAAACCCTATCTCTGCTAAAAATACAAAAATTAACCAGGCCTGGTGACAGGTGCCTGTACTCCCAGCTACTCCAGAGGCTGAGGCAGGAAAACTGTTTGAACCCAGTAGGTGTAGGCTGCAGTAAGCCAGGATCACACCACTGCACTCCAGCCTGGGCAACAGAGTGAGAGACTCCATCTAAAAAAAAAAAGAGTTTTAAGGAAGGAAATGACTTATTGGGGTTTTGTTTTATCCATTTTGTAATCCAATTAATACCACCATTTTTAAGAGATGAAATTGCTTTCATTAGAAGGCTACATAAAATAAATAATTTGATTATTTTAGGCTCTGTTATTAGACTTACATTTCTTTCTAAGGTCTCATTACCAAAAGTTACACAGTGGCCTAAATCACCTAAAAACATGTAAAGCTACTGTATTCTTTATTAGACCCATCCCCAGAGTTATATGTACATGTACATACTTTGAGATGTGTTTTGTTCTTAATTGTATTTTAGATTATTTTTGACTGGCTTAAATTCTACCACTATTTTAGTATTTGTTAGGGCCAAATAAATCATTCAGAATACAGTTTTCAGTGTACAGAATGTGCTGTAATTTAATAAGACCCCTTGATTTTAAGATTGGGTTACCCTGTGAAGCACAACTGCTTCAGAGTTACAGAGAGACATACCAGTTGGTCCACTGGATGAGCCCTGTTCTACCTCAGGTCACCTCGTGAAAAGCTATCTCAGCAAGGAGTGCTTCAAGGACTCCAGCTGATCCTAGTGCTGAGACCAAAACTTCCTGGACATTGGGCGCCTAAGAAACAGTAGGATTCTTATGCCAGTGTGACAATAGCCCCAGTTGTGAAGGCCAGAGTCTTCCGACCTCACTTACCTCCTCTCAGCTCCTCTAAAAATATGTAGAGTGGCAGAGAATTGGGGTGCCTCTCTTGGAGCACAGCCCATGATGCATCCAGTTACTCTTGGCCCCACTATGCCTTTCCCACATGTTGGGAGGAGTCAGGAGCAGTGAGCATTTTGCTAGCTCTGTCCGTTTCCTGCTTCTTACGCCATTTATAGTTCTTGCCCTTGAGCAACAAAAGTGAACAGTACCAGTGCCTTAACTAAATTTTTCTCAACCTAGATTTTCACTTGAGAAATATAGTAATATTATTAAATTACTGTATGTCAAGATAGCAAATTTTCTGGGATTCTTTAAAATTCCAAGTTGTGTAAAAGATCAAAAAGTGCCCGTAAGAGCTTTATGAAGTTTCACAAAAAAATAACTGAAAATTCTTTGCTTTTATGACCATGTAAAATGTCATTTTTATAATGGAAATATCTTAATTTTCAAACTTAATGTATACTTTAAGCAATTTTAATATTTAAACATTGGCAAAATTGTCTTCTGGAATGTAAAGTTCAGCTCCGGCAGTAGGATGCTGAAACAGTGATCTGGACTATGGTGCCAATATTGCCACATGGGGTTATTTAATTAAATAAATAAAAATTTTTATTTTTTTCAGCTGCATCAGCCACATTTTAAGTGCTCAGTAACCACATGTGACTGGTGGCTATCATATTAGACAGTGCAGATATGGAATATTTCCATCATCACAGAAACTTCTCTTAGACAGTTCTGGTCTAGAAGATAACCATAGTTTTTGGCAGAAATTTTGACAGGCTAATGATGAAAAGTTTCTAACCCTGAGCTTTGCATACCCAAGAAAAATAAGGCATTCTTTTTTATATATCAGATCAGTGAAGCTGTATTCTGCACATTTTGAAATGCTAGTGTTTGTCTATGGCCATACCACCCTAAATGTGCCAGATCTTGTCTAAAATGCTAGTTTTCTGACTACAAAACATTACAGGACATAGTAGATATGCATAGTAGATATGCTCAGTAGAGCTGCTTAAAATTATTCCCTTTTTTTTTTCTGTTGAATTCTAATACAAAACCAGGTCTGTGTTATAATAGAAAACACACGAATAAAAATATTTAAAAATTATAATTTACAGAAATTAGTTTTATTTCTAGATTTCTAGGCCATATTAATGTAATAGCATTAGGTGGGACCAGAGAACTCATTTGTTTTGTAGCTTTCATTATACAGATTATTTAGGAAATGTATTAGCAAAGGATTTTTTGTTATGCTTATCCCTTGAAATAAAATATTGTACAGATTACACATTGTGATTTTTTGTTACTGAATATATTGTTTGTCCCCAGAAAAATCTAAAAAGATATGGGTTGACTTCTAAGAGACTTAAGAACATGTCACCTCTAGTTTTTAAGACAGTTCCCCGAGATTTACCTATCCAGTACCATCTCAAAAAAATAACTGCCTGTAAGCATCAAAAAGTTGAGAAATGCTGGTAATGCGACATAAATTTTTCATTGTTCTTCACTGAGATAGGATTGCTTATTTTGTTATTGATAAATTATTTAATTTCTCCTGAAGAATTAGCATAATCTCATGTGATAGAGAAACATCTTAATTAGAAAATACAAGTAAATTTATACAAAGGAAAACCTATCAAAACCTTAATGTGTGTTTAATAAAGTAACTGATCAAAGATGCAGCTGTGTCTTGCTTTGTGAGTGACAAGTTTTTGAAAAGCAATATTGCAAACTGTTTCAAATGTGTTCTTTATTTTCAGTGCCCCATCTCTCCAGCAAGCATTTAAAACACAGAATTTTTAGTTAATAAGCAATGCGGATTTGTGTTGCATCCATTGTTTTTTCTTGAATTATATCATCAGCTTCCTAGTATGTTTCATGTGTTGTATGTGATGCTGCATTTGAATTGAGGGCTTCGGTTTTTCCATTTCACTTGCCTGCAGATACACAAAACAAAATAAAATAATTATTTGAAATTATGGCATCAAATTTCACTTTAAAAGTTTGCATTTAAAAATAATTTTTGTAGCAATATTGAAAATATGATGTCCTGAAAATGCTATGTGGATGAATGAAAATTGAATTATTTCAAAGTGGTTTTTGAGTATTTCCTCTAAAAGTCAAATAAGGGAAATAATTTAGTAACAGAAACAAAAAATTTGATTTCCATGCTTACCTTTCTCCAGGCTTCCCTGAGGAAAACAACTACACATTTGATAAGAAGGCAACAATTTCTGAGTGACTTAATAAAAGTGTGAGTGCCCCTCTCCTATGCATATTGTAAATAAACTACATTAAAGCCAATCATAACTTGCACAATCTTAAGGCTTTGCCATTATAACCAATTTAGATGTGGTTTATTAAAAGGACACAGTTGTGCCACAGTCCCATTTACTCACTCCATATAAATATGAGTCTAAAATGAGCAAAGGTGAAAGAATATGGATCTTTGTTGATCGGAAGTAGTCGAAACAAACATAGCAAATAAATGGATTATTCAATGAATAGTGTTAGGAAAGTTGAATGATTGTAGAAATAATGTATCATTTCACCAATAGAAATTAAATATGTAAAAAAACAGTGGAAGAATTACTAATGATCTCCATGTTGCTAAACCCTCAGTCCAGTTCATTCTCATCTTATTTGATCTCTTAGCAGCAGTTGATCCAGTGCTTTCCTTGGCTTCCAGGAAACCATTCTTTTTGACTCCTTGCAACCTCACCATTGCTAATTACCTTCATGTTGCTAAATCCACAGTCCAGTGGCCAAAAACGTCTGGTCCTTCATTCCTCTCATCTCTCCCACCCTACATCTAGTCCATCAGAAATCCTTGTCGACTATACTTTTAAAATACATCCAGAATTAGACCACTTCTCATTGCTACCACTATTCTGCTTTCAGCACAACATTCAAAGAGCAATCATTTAAAAAATAAATTGAATCATGCCCTCTGCCCAGAACCCTACATTCACCCAGGTCTTACAGTGGCCTATGTGATTTCACACACACACACCATTAATCTCTCTGACTTCATCTTTTTGTACTTCATTCTTTGGTTCACTCCAACCTCTTTGATTAAACATTTCAGGCATGTCCAAGCCCGTAGGACCTTTGCAATGGCTGTTCACTTTGTCTACTATGTTCTTCCTCCAGATAATCTGCACAGTCACTCTCTTTTTCCAAGTCCTTCAAAAGGCATCTTCTTTTGACTTGTGGTAGGTCTTCATCAGACCTAACACAAATCAAATTATTATTTAAAATTGCAGCCTCCTTACCCTACATTTCCAACCCCTTCTGCCCTCCATTTTTCCCCCAAAGCACTTATTTACTAATATAATTTTACCTATTAGTTATCAGTTATTGTCCATCTCCCCTCACTAAAATTTAAGTCACATTCCAAAGAATTTTTGACTATTTTGTTCATTAATGATGTGTCTATAAAAAATGCCTTGCACATAGTTGTTCGATAAATATTAGTTTATTAATGAATTAAAGGATAAGATAGAAAACTTTAAAACTGAGTAGCAAAAGACAAGATTGAAGAACAACCAGCAAAAAATGTTTAGACCATATGATGCATGTCTAACATGTAAAGATCTTACAAATCAACATGTAGGACCGTAACACCTTTTAGTGGGTGAAGAAAGTGACAGAGAAGATAAAATGGCTAATAAATATGAAAAGATATTAATCTTGCTAGTCAGGAAGAAATGTAAATTCAACAGGTGAGAAACCATTTTTCATCTCCCAATTAGGTGAGGATAAAAAGTAATTTTTCTTGGTCATGGTAGGAATGTAAGTTGGTGCATACTTAAAGTGTCAAAATTTCCTAACCTGTAATTCCACTTTAACAAGAAATTCCCAAGGAAACCATCAAAGATAAGATCTAAAACTTACAGACATCTTCACTAGTTATTTTAAAGACCAAGAGACAAGGCCAGGTGCAGTGGCTCAAGTCTAATCCCACCACTTTGGGAGGCTGAGGTGGGTGGATCTCCTGAGGTCAGGAATTTGCGACTAGCCTGATCAACATAGTGAAACCCTATCTCTACTAAAAATACAAAGAATTAGCCAGGCATGGTGATGGAAACCTGTAATGCCAGCTACCCGGGAGGCTGAGGCAGGAGAATCACTTGAACCCGGGAGGCGGAGGTTGTGATGAGCCGAGATCATGCCATTGCACTGCAGCCTGGGCAACAAGAGTGAGACTCCATCTCAAATAATAATAATAATAATAAATTAAATTAAAATGAAGAATGAAAGTACCTTAAATTTCCAATGATGGAATTGCTAAATATCATGCATGATAGATATATCATGCAGCCATTTAACTTTAAAAAACTAAGAAATTTTTAATTACATGGAATGTGCTTAGAATTCAATGTCAAGTGAGAAAGAATGTAAAACTGTCAGCAATATAATAATAGTTAATACTTACATAGCACTTACTCATAACACTATCAGCCTGTCTGCTAAAGCTCTTTAGAATCATACAAAGAACTTGGTTAGGCTGAATCTGGTTCTGCTTTCCTCTTCTGGCTCAGTTCTCTCACTCCTGTCCTTATCTTTGGCAGTTCAGATACCCACAAGTCCTATTTTCTCCAAACTTTCCCTGCTGTCTCCCTCTCTGCCCCAAGCCTCGTCTAGCTACCTAGTGCCTCTAATTCTCCAGCCTCCTTTACTTGAAAAATTCTCCACCAGGTTTTAGAAAATCAGCCCCAAATTTCCCTAAGGGGAAGTTCATTAGCCAAGACGTCTTCCATTAGAAGTAGCTACTGTACATCCTCTTTTCACCATACAGCATATCTTCTGGATATGAGTTTTCATTTTGTTTTTCTTTAGGTAAATCTAAATGTTGCCTTTAAGTGTGCTAATACTTCCTGGCTTTGCCTATTAATTGCTTTCTATAAATAAACTATTTTTTGTAGGTATAAATATAGATTAAAGATACTTTTCTATTAGTAAAATGCTTACTAGGATCAATCAGGACATCCCTCAGTCTGGGTTGATTTCATGGTTCAACACTCAAAGGGCAATATTATTTACGAGTTTTGAAAGATGTCTCACTGCAGATCCCATATCCTACCCATAATACTGAAACATACATTATATTGATCTCTAGGTTAATATTAGAAACACTGAAATTTAAAATCTAGGGCCTAGAGTGGCACGATAATGACTTTATTTCAATTACTTCTCTTCTGAACTATTTTTGGTAGTAAAAATAAGTTACTTAATATTCTACTTCTAAACATGCAATCATACTAGTTGAATCATATGATTTGATTTTTAACAGCTAATTTGATGTAGGCACAGCATTTACCAGCCTAGAAAATAGCCTTTGCCCAATCAGCAACAAAGCTATTTAAAATAAATATAGTAGAGAAAGCTGGCATGAAAATTTTATGAAGTAAAAAAGCATTGCATTTGCAAAGTAAACATTTTCTTTTTTTTTTTTTTTGAGATGGAGTCTCACTCTGTCCCCTAAGCTGGAGCACAGTGGCACAATCTCAGCTCACTGCAACCTCCGCCTTGCAGGTTCAAACAATTCTCCTGCCTCAACCCTCCAAGTAGCTGGGACTACACGCACGTGGCACCACACCCAGCTAATTTTTGTATTTTTAGTAAAGACGGGGTTTCACCATGTTGGCCAGGATGGTCTAAGTCTCTTGACCTCATGATCTGCCCACCTCAGCCTCCCAAACTGTTGGGATTACATGTGTGTGCCACTGCACCCGGCCGCTATCAAGCATCTTAAACTTTTTATATGGCCAGGCGCAGTGGCTCAAGCCTGTAATCCCAGCACTTTGGGAGGCCAAGGCGGGTGGATCACGAGGTCAAGAGATCGAGACCATCCTGGTCAACATGGTGAAACCCCATCTCTACTAAAACTACAAAAAATTAGCTGGGCATGGTGGTGCACGCCTGTAATCCCAGCTACTCAGGAGGCTGAGGCAGGAGAATTGCCTGAACCCAGGAGGCGGAGGTTGCAGTGAGCCCAGATCCCGCCATTGCACTCCAGCCTGGGTAACAGCAGCGAAACTCCGTCTCAAAAAAAAAAAAAACCTTTTTATATTTGACACACTTTCCAAAGTCAAATTCTAACTTGAGTCCTCATTTTTGCTATTATTTCCCTGAAGTCCAAAAGAAACATATTTGGTTTATTTGCTATAGAAATCATATAAGAAGCTTTGTTAAATATGAAATGGTGTTTGGTTTCCTTTGGGCTATATTTGTATACATGTTATTGGTATGTGTTCATATAAGAAGCGTTGTTAAATATGAAATGGTGTTTGGTTTCCTTTGGGCTATATTTGTATACGTGTTATTGGTATGTGTTCCAAAATTATGGGAAACTCCTATAATTCTAATATGACTTAGTGTATGTTTTTTTGTTTTGTTTTTGAGACAGAGTCTCGCTCTGTCACCCAGACTGTAGTGCAGTTGAGGAAAGGTGTTCTCTTTCAGGGTCCACAAGGGGGCATAGTTTTAAAGGCAAGAACTTCCCAGCACCATGCCTCCCTCCCATCTCTCTCCATCCAGGAGATTTAACGGTTTATGTTTAAATTTCAGGCATGCAGGAAGAAACTAAGGGTCAGTCACTCCAGCGGAAGTTCTAAGGAACTCCTTTCATTGGCCAGGGGTCTTAGAGAAGCGGGGGGTTCTTCCCAGGTTAAAAATCCCCTTCTTCCACACCCCTTCAGACTCCATGTTCGGGTCCCCTTCCATGAACACTCACTTCATGGAAGCCATCTTTCTCTTTCCTGGATTTCCTCTCTGAAGTCCCCTTCCCCACTCTCTCATGGAAGCCTGTCTTCCCCTCCTAAACTCCATCTCTCTCTGTTCCCTTCCACTCAGTGTGGAAGCTTCTTTCCTCTCCTGGATTCCATCTTTCCGGATTCTCTCACTCAGTGTGAGAGTTAGCTATTTCTTTCTC